TGTTCAAATTGAAAGTCTCTGAATTCCTGTAAACAAACAGTGTGTACTGCCCTGTATTTTCCTGAATATAAGTATTTTAGTAGCTTGTAACCAAATAAAATTTGATGACAACAAGTAGCCTTAATTTTATCAAAGGTCTGTAAATAAGTTTAAACTTGTTTGTTTTTTTATCCAGTTTTTGAAAGAGACATAGTTATCATAGCATGCACTTGATTCTCTCCAATGATGGTGAATTTTAATTCCTTTTTTCATCAGCTTTGTGAGATTGACTGTATAGTTTATGGTTATGGGATACTATTTTAATTCTATAAATTTGCATGTAGTGGCATATCCACAGTAACCAATATGGTTTGTACAGTTCATCATTCTCATTAATTTCCACTGCTGACTTTGTTTTAAATTTACCCCAAGCAAATATTTTATTTTTTCTCCCTTTTAAATCTGCATCAAAACATGTAATCAGTTTCACAGTTCAAGAGAAACACTATTATAATGATAATCCACATTATCTCTGTCATATGATTGATAATGGCCAATCATAACCGACAATCTCTGTCATGTGATTGGTAATGGCAAATCATAATTACGAAACTTGTGGGATTTTAATTAATAATGTCTGCTTCTTATTTATTTCTTCATCTACCTAACAGCTAGCTAATCATTAATATCATTGATGGTCTTTTTTCTGGTTTTAAAAAATTTGTAATCAATCTCTACAGATGTGTATAAATGTTATTACATTTCTGAATTCAGATTGTAGATAAGATTAAAGATGTTAACCCCAAAATGCCCTGGTTGTTATTCAATCTAACCATCAAGACTGGATCCGTAAAAAGTCAGGGACATTATAAATTATATAATACCATGTAATAATAAGCTGTGACTATCTCTGTAAACTTTAACGATAATGCTGTATTTAGATTTTTAATTCTTGTAATTCTAAACCAGAAGTTCTTTGTAGTTTCAAATGTGTATATAGGTAGCTGGAAGGGGTTAGTATTAAATTGATATTATTTTTCATTATTTTCATTTTCTGCCATGTTATTTAGACTCAGTATTGAATGGAAATTTCAAAAAAAAGACACAACTCTTGGCTCTTTAAATGAATTATGAAAATGAAAGCTTTCACAATATGTAATATAATTTTGTAGAACGTGACAAATCTTGTTAGTCACTTAGTCACACCCTGCGGCTCTAGATGGCCACTATATTTCAGTAGGCAGTGATTGAAAATTTCAACCACGTCTCTTTCGGCCATTATTTTAAGGTTCTGATAACTATTAACATATAACATATTAAACATGAAATATTTGTTTTCACTTACTAATAACTCTTACATTAGTGAGAGTATGTCTTTAATGTAAGATGCTAGTACATAGGTCAGAATTGCTAGATTCCAGATCCATGTGATTTTGATGTACAATAATAATTTCTACAACTTGCACAGAAATTCATCATTTGGTAATGATGCTACAAATGTTTCACTATTTTCAGTGTCATGTCTGGTAACCGTGTCTTTAAGAAACACTAAATCAAACAGTCTCGTTAACTTGATATTTTGATTGGAGTCAAAATTAATTGCGTGATATTTCATAATTAGATACTAGGATCTTGTTTGAGTACAGCTCAAGTAAATTTGATCTGCACTATAATAGAAAGGGTAAATCATCGGGAGCAATTTAAGTGTGGTTTATACATGTACACAGACAATATTTGAATTCACTGTCAATTACGTCAATGAATTCTTTTGTGTTATCAACACTTTTTATTATATTCATTTTTTTTTTGCATCAAAGGAAATTCTGTCTGATATGTAGATTTATTTGTAACTTCAATGCAAATTAAACTTTGTAGTTGGCTGCCAGAAATCACATGATACAATAACTCTAACATGATTGGCTGAATGTGAATTTAGACATGATAGAATGTTTTTCTCTTTTCTGAGTTCCCCGTAAACTATTCCTTCATTATACAAATATCTGGGGGCTACTGCAGACTAGAAAGAAAAGCTTTTCCATTAAATCGAGTCGGTCTAAGTAATGCCTCCGAGACAGCTGTATATTATTACTGATTAGTACAAGCTAAATGTCAAATTAGTTGTGCATCTACGATGTTAAGGTAGAGATGCAGTTTATTTGGCTTGCTTTTTAATTGAGTAATTAGACAATGAAGATGGTATTATATATCCAACATGTTGTATATTTTCTGAAAGCTTATTATACAAACTTTGTAAAACTTGTCTTTATTTTAAATATCCAGAATGCGTTTTTGATTTTGGGTCAAAAATATGCTTTTTTGGACAAAAGTGGTTTAAAAAAAATTAGCTTAAAAACTTCAAGTCCATTTGTGGGTAAAATTACATCACTGGATACCTTGGTATACTACTAATTCAAATGCGTCCACTCATCTTCTACGACTTTCAAAGTCGCACAGCATGA